AAGCTAACTTTAAGAATCTTTATATACTTTGTTTATATATAAATTATGTTTTATTGGTTTTAGTTATATGTAAGTTATGTGATTGATACTCATAAAATCTTAAGAAATCAGCATAATGTTTGGTAAGATCTAAACATAAAGTAAATATTAGGCATGCTTGTATAATGATTTAAAAAATAATCCACAAATAAAGAAGTATACAATGCATATAAAAAAAGATGATTATAATAATCTATAATAATATTTTTTATTATATTTGAAAAACATTTTTTTTGTTAGGAATAAAAAAACAAGTTTTTTGTTAGGAATAAACCAATGAAGTATTTGATTTGTATACTTCTTTATATGTAGCTTTTTAAAAATAATAATATGAAAAAAAAAATTGTAAAACCAAAAATAATAAATAAAATAAAATTGTCAACTATTACTATCAGTTAATAATACGTTCAGAAGCAAGAGTTTTGGGTTTTTTCTTTTAGTTTTCTTTTTCTCATTAGTTTTTAATTGATTCTGACCCAAACCCTAACCTGACTCTAACCATGTACATTTTATTGCGCCAATCCCTATTTAACAATCGATTTATGTACATTTAATTGCGCCAATCCCTATTTGTCATTTGATGTAAGTACATTTAATTGCGTCAATTTCTGTTCGTCAGTCGATGTATGTACATTTAATTGCGCCAATCCCTTTTTGTCAGTCGATGTATGTACATTTAAAAAGCTGTCTCAAAATTTTCTTAATATAAAAAAAATATAATCATTAAAATATTTAACTGAATTTAAATAAATTTCAAAATGATGAGAATAAAAATTGGTTTGCGTAATTAAAAAAAAAAAGATTTTTTAAACGATTGATTTCTGATTAAAAGACGAATGTTAAAAAGATGGCGATTATTGGCGTTTTTAGTGTAATTTTTTAGACTTCAACATCAAATTAGAGCGCTTTCTTCAAATTTTCAATTCAATGTTTATATGCAATTCTTAATTAACGTGAAATTATCTATCAAATCAATCATAAAATGATAGCCCAGTGGGCACTGACGTATAGAAGACGTCTTTTATACCTGTTTTGAACGTCTTTTGAACGTTTTGGACGTCTTTTTAACGTTCAAAAGACGTTTTTTTTTGGTCCGGTGCCTACTGGAAGGCAACTAAAACAGTGCTAAAGTTTTAATCTTAAACATTATTCTTTTTTTATATCTTACATATAAAAAAGGATTAGGGTTTTACATTTATCATTATTTTTTTGATTTAAAATAGTTATTATTAATATTATTATGAAAAAAAAAATTAAACTTATATATCAGTGAAAAAGTCAAATAAACTTTTGTCAATTTTCTCCATTATAACTTAAATTTAATAACAAAAATCAAAATAATACAATATCGAAATAATTATTTTCATAGTATCGCCCCCCTTATCCGCCCCCGTATTTCGTTGAACGAAAAAAACAACAGAAAAACCAAAATTAGGTACCAAACGTACTACATTAATTAAACTATCTGTAGCCATTTATTTTTTGTTAAAATTTAGCATGTGCATAAAAAATCCATGTAGAAAATTATCTGAATAATAAAAATAGGGGATCAACATTTTCTCGACTACAAATTCATGTGAGAACATCAGCCAAATTTTCAGGAGCAAAATAATCCATAATAATATTAAGTAACCATACATAAACGTCATATACAAATTATCTATGTTTATCTATGCGTATCTATGTTTCTAAAAAGGAAGTCCACAAATTACGTCTGCCTCACGCTGCCTAAAAAAGAGTTAAAAAAACGAGAACCACATTTTAGCATAAAAATCGGTTCCGTAAATCGCGATTTCCGCTTACCTATATACAGTGTTTTTTTATTTATTGTCAGTTACAAGCCAATTCCCGAGACGATTTGAAATTGCTCTGATGTTTGCAGCTCGACGAACTTCCATCTGTTTTATATTTCCATGTTTTTTTGTATGTGATCATGGTCTACTTAAAGTATACTTTAAGTAGGCCATGATGTAATTATGTTATGATATTAAATGTAACTTTGCATGTAATCATGTTATGATGTAAAATTATGTAACTATTTATAGAAACTCTGTTTTTTATGCGTAACTTTATTGAAACTTTTTTTTATTCAAAAAAGTACATTGCTTTTTTTGTCTTTCGTGCAAACGGAATCATTATAAAACCTTTAAGAAATTGATTGATGTAGAATTAGGGTTTATCAGAGTCACACCAAGATTTATTTAAAAATATTTTAAGTTTCTTCTACTGTATTACATAATTTTTAAGTTTCTTCTACTATATTACATAAAGCTTCTGATAATAGGACAAACAACATAACAATGATTATAGATATTTTTTTATTTTTTTCATTATAAAAATATGAGCAGTCAAACATTGGGGTAGTCGCTTTGCAAAGTCACTAAATCAATGTCAATGGAAAAGTTATTTGTAAAAACAAATATTGATTTACAAAAATTTTTTACATTGGAATCCGTTTTTAATTGTACTAAAAGAATTTCATTGAGTATTAAATTTAATAATTGCAAGTAATAAGTTTATTATTTACTTGAGGCGAATCTAAACAATTAAATTTTTTTTAAAATAGTTTTTCTTTTCATAAAAGTTTTTCTTTTGCTAAAGTCTTCATTAACGTATAACTTTTCATTCAATAGTTTGATATGGTACAACACTATATACAATATATTAATACAATATTGATACGATTTAATATTAAGGTGGAAAAAAACATTGAAATAGACTTTCAAGATGTAATAAACCGGAAAAAGTTTTACCTTACAGTAAAAACCACATTTTAAATTTTAACTAGACATCTGCCTCTTATAACGGTACGACATGAAACTGGTTGAATAGGTAAAAATATAAATACGTTTTAATAAAACTGATATAAAACGAAACCTACCATTGTACCTTTTTTTTTGTAAAAATGTTACGAAACGATAGTAATCGTTTTATACCGTGCAAAATTAAATTTCCATGAGGAAACCATGAGCAAAAAGTATAAGTCTCATATAAAACTTTTACTGCCATTATAAGATTTTTACTTCATAATTGATTTCATGAGTTTTAAATAAGGGATCGTCCATAAATTACGCAACGCTAATTTCACTTACGGTTCAATTTTGTAGTTGCTTAAATTTTTTAATAACAAATAAAATCTCCACATCAGTTGCCTATACCATACCCCATGCGTTGCTTAATTAAAAAACTTTAACAAGAGAACCACTTTTAGCACTATCATTGTTTGATGAATAATTTCTTTTATTATTCGCTTTATAACGATAAACTTTTTAGGTTATACTTCTTTTTTAAAACTACGAATTTGACATTCTTTAGGCTGCAGTTACATACATAAAAAATTAGGTACCGTATTTAATCTGTCCATAGCTTCATGCACATGCTTTTCGCATTTTCTTTATAAAATTTAATACTATTTTTTTACAGGAAAGTAAAAAAACGTGGAAGTAAAAATCTCAAAATATACCGGCAATCCAAATGTATTGATAATAATTAAATAGCTTATATATCGTTTTAACTTATATAGCTTATATATCGTTAAGATAATTTAAATAGCTTATATATCGTAGCTTCAAAGAGAACCTTTTAAAAATCTTTAAACCTAAAATTTAGGTTAATCTTTAAACTCCTTACATTTTTAACATCCAAATGGATAACTTTCGAAACGACTTAGACATTTGTCTTTATGTAACATAGAATCAATTAGGTAACACGGAGATATTTTGGCATGTGGGTAACATCGACATTGAATATTTTTCCCGTCAACTACTGACAATTGTTTTAACAGATTCTATTAAAACAATTTGAATCTGTTAAAATAATAAATTATTTTACCAGATTCTGTGGTTAGATGTTAAAATAATTTAATGTAGCTCAATATGACTTTTTTTTATTGCAAAGTAGTAAGTACAAATAACAAAGCAATACTGCTTAAATTAAACAAATTTCTAGTTTTTTTGTTGCTGAAAAATTTAGTTAAAAGATAAGTAAAACCATAATATATCATTTTACACGTGTTTTTATGATGTCGTTTCTAAATATTATGCATTTGAGATTTTTTTGAACCATTTTCATTTAAACGTTTATTTCAGTTAACATTGACAGGAATGTCATCTCATGAGTCAAAAATCAAACGAGGTTTAGCGGAATGTCTTATGCCTGTTAAATTTTTCACGATTACATATAATGGAATCAAACAAAATAAACCCGAAAGAGTTAAATCAAAAAATGTCAACAGATCTAAAAAAAACCCTTTGCAAAAGATTAAAATCCACACCTAATGATGTGGTATAATGGTAAGAAAAAATATCAGAAAATTAAGATTTACGGCATAAAATATACAAATGTCAAATTTATCAACAACAAAATCAATTAATTAATCAAGTAATATTACATAACTACATAAATCATAGATCATCCAGGTAATATTTTAAAAATCCGGAAAATTTGGGTAAAAGATCCGGAATTTATTTTCCTCTTAATTTAGCTGAGTTGTTTTTTTTTTTTTTTTAACTTTTCTTAATTTTTATATGAGTGATGAGTGAAAAAGTTTAAAAAACAAATATATTACAAAAATATATATCTAAACTTGTATGTATAGAAAATGTTTTGGATATCCGGAAAAACTGAAGGTTAAAAAAAATATCCGGAAAAAGAAAATCCCTGTTTAATTTTTTTTTTTAACATTTCACGTGAATTGCGTGACATTTACACCGAATATTATTTTGGTATATTGATATAACCGTTTAGGTTTTTAAATTTTTTTAAATTTGTTAAAGGAATTATCGTATTTCTAAATAGAAAGGATAATATATATGATAAAAATAACAAGAATTTTGAGTGAAAAAGAGATTATTGTTTGCCTCCGTATTTTATTTCAAAGCCATGATTAAACTTTAATAAAAAAATTCTTAAAAAAAAAATCGAAACGTTTACAAGTTCGGACAGTATGTAATTAAATGTGATTACTGCATTATAAAATATATTTCTTAATGAAAATAATAATACTATAGTACATACTCATTCTTAAGATATTAGATTAGAACATATTCCATCCCAAACTAAACTAACATCCAAAACAGCATTTCTGACATTTTTATGAATAAAAATGCAATTAAGAAAAATGTTTTTTCCATCCTTCTATAATTGCTTCGTCAGTTGGGCACGTGGATTTAAACGCGGGTTCTTCAGCAGCATCTTTCATGTATTTGTGTAGATCAACTAAATCTTCGGGAATATCAAAATTTTTATACTTTTTCAAGGCAACTTTCACAATTTGTAATTTAGGCAAGATATCGCAATCAGGATGTTTTAATGTGTCACCATCTAAGTATTTGCCAGGAGAGTTAGAAGAGCCCAAGAAATTGTTGATTTTTTTTAATTCTTCTAATAAAGAAGCCTGCAATTTTTCATCTAAGTTTGGATCTTTGTTACGTATATATCCTGCAAATCTAAACGTATCAAAACAAAAACTACAACTTTTGAGTTTTGCAATATCTCAGGTTACCTAGTAGGTAACCAAGGTTACTTAGTAGTTTACAAGAGTCTTGTAGAAATGTAATTAATACATCAATTATTAGAGTTAACTGTAATTAATACATCAATTATTATAATTAACTGTAATTAATACATCAACTATTATAGTTAACTGTAATTAATACTTTAAATATATAGCAAATTTATAGCAGAATATGCAAATACAGGATTACCATATCTGATATAATATGCACACAAAGATTTATATTACAAAATGTTTACTGTAAACAGAAACTAATTTTATACAATATGCAAACACAGAATTTCTGATATAATCAAACATATCTGATACAATATACAAACAAAGACTTAACATATATAATGCAATATAAAATAAAGACTAACATACAGAATTTCCATATGATATGATACAATATGCAACACAGAAATATATGACTTTATTTCAAGAATATTTTTCAACAGTACTTGTAATTTGAACTATTAAAAGTCGAAAGAAAAAAGTTCAAGAAAAAAAAATAGAACAGGTCAAAAGATAACAGAACATCTCCACTTATCCATGTATATGATAAAAAATGACATATATTAGAGATATCTAAACATCAAGAGATATCCAAACATAAAAAGATATTCAAAATTTTTCATAATCTTTTATGTTAAGATAACACTGTATTTCAACCTGAGGAATATATATATTTTTTCAATACTTTATATATATATATTTAATATATATATTTTTTCAATAAATTACATATATATATATATATATATATATATATATATATATATATATATATATATATATATATATATATATATATATATATATATATATATATGCATATACATATAAAAAACAAGTTTTTTCATTATTTTCACTTATAGAAAATTGTATGTATGTGCCTTTAAAAGTTATTGGAGTCTTAAACAGTCTTAAATTAAATATTATTTTTTACACAATAGTAGTTTATTGATTTACTGTTATTTTAGAAAAATTGAAAAGAGTATACTTTTTGTGCGCATGAATTTAAATTCAAAGACATGTAATTTCCCTTTCCCTGAAATATGAAGTTATATTACTTTTTTATCAATACTTTATTGGCAACCGATGTCAGAAAATCAAATAAGTTTGAAAAATTCTACCCAATCATAAACAAATAATAAACCAACAAACCTTGTAAACAGATGATCAGCAACAGTGTTAGCCAAAGCATTTGTAGATTTCAAATTAGGTTCTGGCCATTCTTTATCAATATAGTAGGTTATATCATTTACATTATAAACAACATATTCATCATGTTTAAAAACTGGAACTTTAACAGGAATGCCAGCATTCAGACAGAAATCTTTGAATATTGGTGAAACAGGAGTCATATGCACTGGCACATATTCACCAGCAATTGCTTTTAATTTCATTATCATTAATATACGATGACTAAATGGACAGTCTCCAATACCTTTACCATCTTTGGCGTTTGCCTAAAAAACCATGTTTAAATACATTATTAAATTTATTGACATTAAGCATATGATCTAATTTATTTAAAGAAAAATTTCATTTACTTTAACTTATCTTTTAGAAGTAGTTTAGTAGATTAATTCATTTCATACTTAACCTAAACAGCATTTACAACTTAAATAGACATACAAAAACTTAATACATGAGTGTATTGATTATATAATACTGTGCAATATATCAAACTTATAACTTTGCTAAGATGATGTATGTTAATTATTCTAGAAAGAAAAAAAAAAGAAAGTAAAAATAGTAATCAGCAGTTGTAATGTATTTTGATTTTAAAAAAGTGATTTAAAATGTTGTTAACAGTGTATTGCTATTGTTTTATAAAAAAAGTGTGTGTTTTATTTTTGCGGTGTGCAGTTTACATCACAATTCGAAGGAAAAAATAAAGAATAATGGAAAAAAAGATAAGTGTGTGTTTTATTTTTGCGGTGTACAGTTTACATCACAATTCAAAGGAAAAAATTAAGAATAATGGAAAAAAAGATAAGCGTGTGTTTTATTTTTGCGGTGTGCAGTTTACGTCACAGTTCAAAGGAAAAAGTAAAGAATAATGGAAAAAAAGATAAGCAACAAAAGCCTCAGTCGATGTAGCGACACTCCTTCAATATTTTTCCTATTTAGTTAGTTGATGTGCTGAAGCCCCTGGAAACAGGCTATTTCAGTATGACATCAGACTGCTTATCTAAATACGCAATATAAGTTCTTACTAATAATGTAACAATCAAATCACTAAAAATAAGCATCTTTTTACCCAATATTTACCCAAGTACGTGTGATAACTGTATGATAATTGTATAAAAACGATTAGTTGTAATAAAATGATTACTTTGTATAAAAATGATAAAAGTTAAACAGTTATTTATACAAATAACAGTTTTAACTTATCAATTAAATTAGATAATTTTAACCCTTTTTTTAAAATACATAATAGTGTAACTATTGCCTCACTAGTGTTTGTAAATAGCTTAATGAAACTAACTCTTATGACTACTTATATCTATTAATATATTATTAAATTACAATATACTGTGAAAATTGTGAAAAATTGTGAAATTTGAAGTTATTTATGTATAAGTATTTATTTTTACTTTGATAACAGATAATACACCATAGCAAAAAAAGAACTGCCATAGAGCTCTGGACCAACCAAAATACTAACTTTTTTTAATCTTTAGTGAAATGAAAACTATTTATAAGTTATCAAAATACAATTTATAATAATTCTTTAGCTTTAATAATATACATTTTTAATCTAAAGAATCTTAGAAAAGCCATTTTGTTGTTAGATTAAATTTATTCAAACAATTAATAAACACACTAAAAGACACACTGATACAAAACAAATTTGGAACCAAATTAAGCATTATATCAGGTGTTTTGGTACTTGAATTCTGTAAATGAGTGAAATATTTAGTAAGTAATAAGTACAGAGTTTAAACCAACAACATTCCAGGAGGTATTGCAATCATCTTGTTCCTCCCAACAGCAGGCTTGTTTGTTTTTTTGGTTTGTATTTCAGGGTAAGAGAGGTGTATGTCAACAAAAAGAAAAAGGAGTAGCCTTCATGAATTTAATTTTTCCCCTTATTGGTCTTGGAGAGTTAAATATATAAAAAGATAAGTTACATAACTAGATGTGTTAAAAAATTAAGTGAATTTTAAGAGTGTATTTGTTAACATGTTAAAAGAATTAAACTCATATCCAAAAAATATCAAAAAAAAAATATATATATCAAAAAAAAAGTATATAAAATTGAAGATATCCATAGTCATTTAGGGTGAATACTCACTGACTATCATATTCAATAACAAAAAATAATATTAAACAAAAATTTATATTCTGTAAATGAATAAAATAGTAAAAGGGCAAGGGAAGGTAAATGACAACGGTAAAAGAATTAAACATTAATTGTTTGCAAATGAGATAAGACGAAAAAAAAAAAAAATTCAAGTGTTTAACTAAAGGGTCAAGATGTTCAATAAAATATTCAAGATGGTAACAATAATCAGCAAGTGATTTTAAACAGCATTTAATCACACCCTAAACAAATAAAAAAACGCTATAGAACATAAACATGAAAATAAAAATGATATGCAAAATGCAAAAATTAAAAGCAAATAAAAAACTATAAGCAAAATAAAAATGACATGCAGAGTTTACATAAACTGAACTTTTTAAAATAGGATGAATCTACGCCAAATATATTTTATGCGTGCGATTCACTGAAAGGAAAAAAATCGTATGAAATTTTTATAGTTTATATTTTAAAAATATTATTAACTTATTTAGACATTTCAACAAGATCTTCACAAAACAGTCATTTGCAAAATTTTGTTACCGTTATTTTTTAAATTAACGAATAGATAATAGATAATAACTTGAATGAACGCATTATAATAATTTATTCACCTTCACGTAAATTGTTACACTGGGCATGTTACTCGAAGTATCTTTCCTGACAGAATATTAGTGTTTCGATACGATTTTTTCTGCTACACTTATTAGCGATTAAACTTTATTTACGTTTTGCGGGGTGTTGTTAATATAACGGAGATATGTTAAAGAAATGTTTTTCTTTCTTAAATATATATAACGACAAACTAAGACGATAAAATCTCCATTATAATTTAGTCGTCAATTTTAAAAATAAACAAATAAGTTTGACAAACCGGAATCATCAATAACATGGGCTAAAGCATATAAGAAAAAAATATATATATATTTATAAACAATGTATTTAATATTCAATTCAGCTCTTATATACTTTCTTTATAAATGTTCTTTTATTAAGTCTGAAAATTATATAAGTAATTCTTTGAGCACCCGAATAACTATTGAAGCACCTGCCAATCTATCTGGTAATTCTTTATTTGACACACAAAAATATTTTCAAAATTGTTTTCTTACACTCATCTAATCAATACTTTTTATTCTGATTCAAATAAAGAGGTGTTGAATCGGTATATTAATATATTACTTCGGCATTTTATGTAGATTTTTCAAAGAAGAAGACTTTTACAACAGGCGATGGAAGTAAAAATGTTGTTTCTTCTGTCTCGTCGATACCGTATCAATATGTATCCTTGTTTATTAGTAACAGTTATGTTAATAGTATTTATATTACCCGTTCTATTGAGAAATCTACTGAATATTCGTTTAGTGAAATCAACAATAACTTATCTAAATTATCGAAAATAACTTATAATTTGCCTTCATATATTGAAACAAAAAATGCAACTCAAATAATAGCCACTACAACAACATTAAAAATGTCTTTAAATTTTTTATCTGTAAATGACTCTTATAAATCATTTGATAAAACATCAATTTATCAATTAGTATCAAATAATAATTTAACTTTATCAATTGTTCCAACTGCCAATACGTTGATTTTTCCAACTAGTGTTGCTTCTGAAAATTTAATAAATTTATCAACCAATTCGAACTCTACTGAGATACTGTTTAGTCATTTGCCATCAAGTATTGCTTTGTCGGAAATATCAGTTATGAGTGTGCAAACTACTTTTTTTTCAGTTAAATCAATAAGTTTTCAATCCATTATACTTTCATCAGTAGAATCAGCAATTAACTCATCATCTAGTACTTCTACTTCAGAGAACTCAATAATAAGTTTATCCACTATAGTTGCTCCTTCAGAGAAGTCAACAGTAAGTTCTGAAAAGGTAACTTTAACACCTAGTTTGACTTCATCACCAAATTTCTCATACCTATTTTCAAATCAATCTCAAGTAAACTCCCGTACTGTTTCAAATATGTTTGAAACTTCTAAAATTGTGTTTAGTGTTTCAGCAAGTTTAAGTACTTCTATAATAAGCTCTGTGATTCCAGAAAGTTCTTGTGAGCAATCAACTGAAACATTCTCAAATGCAATGACTAATATGACACAATGTATTATAATTCATACAAATCCAATGCAGATATGTCTTGAATGTGCAAAGTATTATGATATGCTTCAGATATATTACAAGTATCTTGTAAACAATTGTAGCTGGTTAGTTAGCCAATCAAATAAAAAGTATCAAGTTATTACAGAAATTCTACAGGCTCAAGAAAGAACTTGGCAATCATTAGGGTGTGAGAGTAAGTTATATTATACTTTATTGTTTAAAATTAAGATTCTTTTGCTTTTTAGCTAAATATATTAACTTTTTTTAATTTAAAAGCTATAAGAACTAGGAAAGTTTAGCAAATGTATTAGAGGTTTTGAGTTTTATCCTAGCATGGTCACTAGTATAGGAAATAAGTTGCTAACTATAATGAAAATAAAATTCAAAATATAACCAAATTAAGAAGAGCAACATTCAAAAGACACCTGTTATAAAAATACAGGAACTTTTAAATAAATTAAAAAATATAGTTAACTAAATGATAGAAAGTAAATAAAAAAGGCAGAAGATTCTTGGTTTCTCCAGTATACATAGGATTTTCCAGTTCCCCAGTTATAGTCCATGATTCTATACTAATTTTCCATGTCATACTTATTTAAGTATGACTTAAAAAAATTCAAGCAATTTTTTATAACTAGCTCTTTCTGAGCTAGTTATAAAAAGTTTTAACTTTTTTCTAAGCTCTTTTTGGCTGTTAGTTTGATAAGGACTTTTTTTGGTGATATTACTACTAAGAGGTTTGACATCTAATAGTTTCACTCTTTTCCTAGTCTTATCTAAAAGAGTTTTTTTCTTCCTTCTAAAAATAAGTTTTTTTCCTTCTAGTTAAGTTACCTTCAGTACCATTAGAGGTCTTAAAGACCTCTAATGGTAGTGAAGGTAACTTAAATGAGGTCTTGCCTCTCCCAATATAGGCTCAGTTTAACTTACAGAATCAGTTTAATGTCATGGCATGATGTTTATAAAATAAGTTGTTACACCATATATAAGTGTAAAAAGTATATTTTGATTAAATATGTTTATTAAATATACATTAGTGTGTTTTTTTAAGAGTTCAAATTAATCTATTAGAATGTTATATTCCTAATTTGGTTGCAAGAACTGTTACACCCGAGTTTAAAAGGTTTCTAGATTTAAAATATGAAGTCGAAAGTTGTTTCCGAAATGTTTCATTAAAGGTATTTTATTTTTAATTTCTTGAGTTTATTGTGTTCCTTTATTTCCAAGATTTGGTTTTTGTATATATATATATATATATATATATATATATATATATATATATATATATATATATATATATATATATATATATATATATATATATATATATATATATATATATATATATATATATATATATATATAATATATATATATATATATATATATATATATATATATATATATATATATATGTATATATATATATATATATATATATATATATATATATATGTATATATATATATATATATATATATATATATATATATATATATATATATATATATATATATATATATATATATATAATATATATATATATATATATATATATATATATATATATATATATATATATATATATATATATATGTATATATATATATATATATATATATATATATATATATATATATATATATATATATATATATATATATATATATATATATATATATATATATATATATATATATATATATATATATATATGTGTGTGTATATAAAGGTGTTCCAAAAAACAACATTTTTGAAAATATTTTGCTCTCACCCCCTAAATGTGTTCTATCGAATACAAAAACACTAGGTTTAAATTTTTTTTGAATAAAAAATATTTTAAGGGGTCCCTCAAGACCCTCGAATATTTAATGGGTCCCCTAATATTTTCGAAAAAAAAGTTTTTCAAAAATATGTCAACCTGGTACTCAAAAGAAGCGAAATTATATAAATATTTCAAAAATAATATTTATTTCGAAATATTTTTAACTTATTTATCAAAATTATCATAAAAAAACATTAGAAATGCATTTTTTTTTCATTTTTTCTTAAAAAACGCAATTTTTTATGTAATAAAACCAAAAATAACAATTTTGTTTCGAAATGAATATTATTTTTAAAAATTTTATACAAATTCGCTTCATTTGAGTACTAGGTTGACATATTTTTGAAAAACTTTTTTTTCAAAAATATAAAGGAACCCATTAAATATTCGAGGGTCTTGAGGGACCCCTTAAAATATTTTTTATTAAAAAAAAATTTAAACCTAGTGTTTTTGCATTAGATAAAACACATTTAGGGGGTGAGAGCAGATTATTTTCAAATATGTTGTTTTTTGGGACACCCTAATGTATGTATATATATATATATATATATATATATATATATATATATATATATATATATATATATATATATATATATATATATATATATATATATATGTATTATATATATATATATATATATATATATATATATATATATATATATATATATATATATATATATATATATATATATATATATATATATAGATATATATATATATATATATATATATATATATATATATATATATATATATATATATATATATATATATAATTAACTTATATTAAAAGTTTTTTTTAATAGATAATCTACCATAGTTTCATTACTGCTTAATTTTTGTACTGAAATCAAAATTCAAACTTTTTTACTAATTCATATATGATGCAGCAATAACACCTATACAAGGGTTTCTTTAATAAAAGCTTATTAAATAAAGTGTCTGCATTCTGCCATACTTTGTGTAAAGAATAACCAAATTAATTATGTTGGCTCAAAAGAGCTTTAATTATACTACTCTATAACAAAGTAACAAAATACATAAAGTATATATGGTATAATACAAAACGTATGTGTACATAAACCTCTTCACTCGATCACCTTTCTTTTTGCTTAGTACCTCTTTACTCAATCACCTTTCTTTCTCTTACTTCTTTTTCTGAGTTAATTGTGTAACTTGTTTTCAAGACAATCCTAATCACTTATCCTTATTAATGTCTTGTCTCAGACTCTAACTGTAAAAAACCTAATTCTTATAATTACATTAAATTGATGCAAAAATGGTCTGACGCTAAGGTCAATTCTCAAAATACTAAATCTTATATTTTATATTAAAAGTTTGGTTTTAGAGACTATTGTTGAATCTTTAACAGGGTTAACAAAGGCAAACAGAGTTATTAACAAAGACAAGTCTAACATTTCATCTGTCTTACATGTTTTCAATCTTATTGCCTCTCACATGAATAAGACAGAACTATTTGCAAGAACTTTTTCTCTAATTCATATCATGAATCTTATGACCTCACACTTCCTGTAATCTCAAAGAAACAGATTAGTTCACTGATAGACATTTAAATCACTATCCTGTATCATTGGCTCCAATTTTTTAAAACTATGGAGAGTTTTTTTTTTTTTTAAAACTATGGAGAGTTTTTCACTGAGATAGCTCTTATCCATCCAAGATATTTTTTTTGCTGTTATTCAATTTTAAAATGAGTATTAAGTTTTGTTTTCACTAGATTCTGATTTTCATAGGTTTAGTTTTCATTAGATTTAATTACAAGTGTCAGTATATTACACATTTATAATCCTAACATTTTATAGAGGTTCACATATACATTTATTACTTGAAATTACACACATTGCAAAGTGGAAATATCAACACATATACATTTTTTACTAAAACATCCACACATATACATTTATTACTGAAACATCAGCACACATTTCAAAGTGGAATTATCCACACATATACATTTATTACTGAAACATCCGCTCACATTGCAAAGTGGAATTATCCACACGTATACATTTATTACTGAAACATCCGCTCACATTGCAAAGTGGAATTATCCACAAGTATACATTTATTACTGAAACATCCGCTCACATTGCAAAGTGGAATTATCCACACGTATACATTTATTACTGAAACATCCGCTCACATTGCAAAGTGGAATTATCCACACGTATACATTTATTACTGAAACATCCGCTCACATTGCAAAGTGGAATTATCCACACATATACATTTATTACTGAAACATCCGCTCACATTGCAAAGTGGAATTATCCACACGTATACATTTATTACTGAAACATCCGCTCACATTGCAAATTAAAAAATTTATAACACTTATACAGATTGACACATCCATTCAACACATCAAAAACCAAAATCACAAATCACAGATTAACACATTTTCAACATTCATCACACATCACAGATGTCTTGATCTAATTTATAATGTTGATAGATCGATTCACTACATCAACCCATCAGATGGAATTCCTGACCCTAACCTATAACCTACTGAATGGAATCAACCTGTAAACCATTGAATGGAATCAACCTATAATCCACCGAATGGAATTAACCCACCGAATTAATATGATCACATATCAACACAAACTAACACACATCACACATCACAAACTAACACACATCACACAACTCAAATTATCACACATCACACAACACACAACACAAATAGTAAACAACCGGGGTTGATATTTGACTGGGGCTGGGGGCGAGTTTGATGAAATATAGGGCCATCATCTCTATTACAATAAACCAAAACTCATTCTTGCTTGGCTTCTTATTCAACAAGTTGCATTCTTTTACTGTATCTGTCCTTATATATTTAATACTGGCATAAATATATGCCAAAGTTTGATAAATAGTAAATATAAGTATAAAATTAAAATAATGAATTATAAATTTATTTCTAGCCCAAGCTATCAATCCCTGCTAAAGCTTACAATTTTGCAAAGGCAAGGGGAGGGACCAGATTTGCAAAAAGTCTCATTTTTAGCCAGGGCCCTGGTCACTTTCTAAACACAAACTAACACACATCACACAACACAAACTAACACACATCACACAACATAAACTAACACACATTGTACAACACAAACTAACACACATCACATAACACTCAATTAAATGGTTTTTATTATACTTTTCAAATCACAAAAAAATTTATAGAAAATTGAAATTAAAAAAATTGTGACAAAAGTACTTGATAAAAAAGAAGTTGTTAAAAAAAAAAGTTTTGTAACATTATAAATTATGATTGCCTTAAAATAAAATAGGTATAAATAAAAAATAAATAGAAAAATTAAGTGAAAAAAATGATTACAGTCCAGTATCATTTGAACATCAATTTATAATTTGTGTGTGAAAAATTCATTTGTTCATAGTTTTCATTTTAGTATTTCATAAAAGTTTTGTTTGAAATGTTTTTTTGTTGTTGTTTTTTTAATCAATACTTTTTATATATATTTATATTGTTATATTATTATAATTATTATGTTGTTTTGTTATTTAACATTATTATTTTGTTTTTTTTATATTGTTATATTGTTTTTTGTTTGTTGTTTGTTTGATTAATGTAGTGTATTTAGTTGAATAAAACCCAAAACAAACTTTTGTCAATGTTTTAAAATAAATATTATAAAATATTTCTGGTAAACATTTTTTAATAGAAGCAATTTAATTTTTAAGAATCAAACACCCAATTCAACTTCAAGTGAGAATGTAGCAATCAATAACACAAAGTTTAACAATACATGGAATGTTTGTAATAAATGCTCAGATATTTCTATGAATATTCTAAGAAATTATAAATACCGTGAGGATAATAATGACAATAGTGATGCACTTTGGTGTGCAGATATAAATGTTGCTGTAAGTATTTTTTTGTAGTTTTCAATGATTTTCATTTTTTTACACGATTTATTGATTTAACAGGTTCTTAACAAAATGCAAATCGTATTTTCATTTAAACTTATAGAATACAGTTTGATAAAATATAGTCAGAGCCGGGTTTGTGATCGGGGCTGCATAAACAATTATGCATCCTAAACTATATTTTTTTAATTCAAAATTCATGTAATATTTTGTATATATATGCATATATAAACATCATTATGATCAACATGATCATCATAATCATCATTACCATGATCATCATTATTATAACCATCATCATTGTCATCATCATCAGGCTTTAGTTTTTTCTTTTATGTTGTTTCTCTAATATAAACAATCTAGAGCATTTTCTTTCTTTAACTAAACCTAATTTATACATTATATAAGGGACTCTCTTCAAGTTTTCTTTCTTCTACCACTACCATTTTCTCCTGATGCCTAAGATGCTTTTTTCTTACCTTTCTAACCTTTCTGTTAGAGTCACACCACACATTCATCTGATCATCTATTTTGGCAAATACTACACCATATAAATACTAAGTTTATATAAATATGAAAGGATATTGTTTACTAGCATCTAAATAAATAGCAAAAATATGTTAATACCCATAATATGTATGCATAAAGTGCATCTTAGAAGCTTTTATTCCTCTTTAATATAAGCTTGGAAGCTTCTATTCCTTCTCTTCAATATTAAGTCTAGCCTCATTCTACTCCACATATTTTACCATCTTGAGCAGTTGCTTTATTAAACAGCAGTAGTTTTTTTCATCTTTTTACAAGGACATCTCTCTTATAAAAGAACATCTCCCTTATAAACAAATGTCCTTTTTTTATTGCAAGAAGCCAATGTAAAAAAGTCCTGTCTAATTTTAAGCTCTATTATTCTCATTTTACTAAATCTTGTTTCTTATCTCAGATGCTAGGTTCTAGAGATTTTTGGTAAGTCTTCAACAGTGTCATAAGCTAAAGTAAGTCTAAAATTTAATTTCTTATTAATGGGTCTGATTTTTGTACTTCTACCCAAAATAAAGCAGAGTTTTTGCAAAAAAATCTTATTCTAATTCAACTCTTGAATCTAATTGCCACACTCTTCCTGCCAGTTAAACAGATTAACACATTAAACAGTTAACCCATCACTATGGCTTCTAATGCTAAAGTTAATTCTCAATTGAACACTTCTACAGTTTGTGCTCCATACAAGATTTCCATCACAGTCTTTAAAAGTGTTCTCCAGAATTCTTTTCAAGTTTTGCTAAACTTTTAAAAAGTGCTAAATAAGTGGTTCTAATTTTTCAAAATTCAAGAACTTAGACCTCTCCAACTATCCTACAAATAGTCTTCACTCAGTGATTAGTTTCTTTATATAAAGGTTTTGAGATTAATAAATTATTTCTTTCTAACAGCAGAATTAAACTTATTCTTGAAGGCCTACATTTCACTTTACTTCAAGTAACTTTAAGGATACCACAAAGATCTATCTTTGCTCCTGTAATGTTTCTTATCTACAATAACAATCTACATAAATATATATATATATATATATATATATATATATATATATATATATATATATATATATATATATATATATATATATATATATATATATGTATATATATATATATATATACATATATATATATATATATATATATATATATATATATATATATATATATATATATATATATATATATATATATATATATATATACACACATTTAACACTGTGTTTCATCAATAAAGACTCATCAGAAATGAATGATCAAATTAATAAAACTTCAATTTATACCAAAAATTAAATTACAGGAAGTCACATGTCTTAACTACTGCAAATTACACACATTTGTGTAATTTGCTGACACTATTGTAAAAAGAATTCTTTAGAAATGATTACTTAAGCTTTTTTAAAAAATAGCATATTTTTTTCAAAGGGGAGTTAATGTAACTATTATTTGAGCTCACTTACTTTTATAGTCAATTCCGATTTTTTGTTTAATAAACATTCTTGGTTTGTATGTGTAATTATTTCAAGTTTTTCTTGTAGACATAGTATGCATTTTTTGGAAATATTGTTATATGCAGGCACTGTTTTAAGGATGGACCAATTCAGTGTAAAATCATCAATATTTTTATCTTTTAATTCCCATATTTATTTTGACAGCATGGTGTCTTTTGAATACTTTTTATTTTTAAAAGATTGCTTATGATTGGCAAAACATTTTTTCCATTCACCTTCTGTTATGCCAATATATTGTTTATCAGGTACATTCTTAGAGGAGACAACACATTTATATACCACATTTTTTGATAAGCAACTTCCACTCATTGGACAATTGTTTTTTGTTTACAATTACAATTTTCTGTAGTTTTTTCATTTTGAATTTCTTTTTTGTTTAACAAAGCATTGTTGTGACCTTTTATAATTCTTTCCACATTTTTTGTGCAACTGTAGCTAACTTTAATAGTATTTCGATTAAAAATTTTATGTAATTTATTAGAGGGCGGGAAATGCTTATCGATCAATTTTAAAAACACTTTTTCTATGTTTGTGGAAACATTTTTGCTATATGGGGGGTTAAACCAAATTACATTTCTAGTTTTATTTCGCTTTTTTGTATTCTTTGCATTTTACCTGCGAAAAGGCGATTTGCTTACGCGTTCAGCAGTTTTGCGTTATGCAAAAACTTTAATATTTTAGAATATTTAAATTATCATTTGATATCGTTTATGTGACGTTTATTCAGAAGAAAATAAAGTTGTAAGTAAAAGCATTTAGGGGCTCTTTATATGAGCCGGGCTAGCCCTGTTAGCCGGGCTGTCTCACTTTGGTGAGATGAATATTGTTATTTGTGTTCCAGTACTCAACTGCACATTTTAGAGATTGAAGATCCGTTTCAGGAATTAAATTTTTGAGGCCAACAATTTTTTTTTTTTTTTTACTTTCCATTATTGTCTCCAGATTTAGTTCATGATTATTGCACAACCCTTTGATACTATCTAAAAAATGTTGTGGGGCTGTTTTGTTTTTCAGCTGCGACCTAATAATATCATATGTCATTTTATTGTTCATCAAACGAATAAATAAGTTTAGCTTGTTTTGTTGTATAATAATTGATATATCTTCAATAAAAAATAAGGTATGAATATAATTTTTGCTATGTTTTGAAACATCGAGGAGTGACTTAAGTGCATTTCTTTCAAGCTTTTGCATTAACATTTTTTTATGTTCACACAGCTCAAGACCATACGTTAGTGTTGGAACAGCTAAAGTTTTATATAACTGAACAATGGAGTTTGGGTGAGCAAAACGGATTCCTGATTGAATTAAGGTTTGGATTACCGTCCGGAAATTAGATATTCGGTGATCAATGTTTGATTTATTAAGTGAGGCAAAAGGGAAACTTTTTGTATCCCATGTAAAGCCTAGGCGACTAAGTTTATCATGAAGTTTCTTTTGTTGGTGGTTGAGAGTTATTGTGCAGTTTTTAATTTGCTTTTTTTCGGTGAGCAGGAACTCGGTTTTGTCAGCATTCGATTTTATGCAGTTTTTGTGTGTGTACATATTACATATATTAATAAGCTTTTGCAGGCCAGAGAGGGTGAAGCTATTGAGTATAATGTCATCAGCATATGCTACAACACCCGTATAGTTTCCATTGATTGATGTATCTACGACGCTTTTGTTTTGTAAGGTTTCTAGTAGGTTTTGAGTATAAATGTTATACAAATGAGGCAAGAGAATAGATCCCTGTCTCACTCCTTGCGTTAGATAGAAAGGATATGATTTGCAATCTGTTAGTGCTTCACAGCTCGCATTCTTTAAATGTTCAGCTGATATTCTGAAGGCGTCTTTGGATTTGTTTAATTTAAGGCGAGAAATAACCGTTTTTATATTTTCATCCGGTATTATTACTTCGTCGAATTTTGTGAAAGGTGGAGTTTTTAAATTTGTAGAGGTATATGTGATTGGTTTAGAGTTTAATCGATTTTCAAAACTGTTGGCAAATTCTTTCGTGATCGAGTCTTTATCTTTTTTATTATTTATGATATACAATTTCGAATTTGCATCTTTTTTTATATTTCTGAAAGTTTTCCAAAAATATTTTGGATTTGTATTTTTTAACGTTTCGATTTTTATGTATTCTTTGCACAGGTTTTTATTTTGAGCATTTTTTACAGCATGCGGAAATTTTTTCGTGCCAACCGGTATCGAATAAAAATTTGCGAGTTTAAGTTTTTAACGAACCCAGTTTCCCGCCATTTTTAAAAATAAAATGAAAGAACATTTTTACTACGGCTTAATTCGGGTGTCCACCAGGGTTTTGAATACAATGATGGTGTTTTCATGGATAAATATTGATTAAGTGCCTCAGATGCCGACTTTGTAATAACAGTATATACTTTGATAAGTTCCTCATCGTAATTGTGATTCGTAAAATTGTGAAAATTAAAATTAGTATTTAAGCGATTTTTATATAATTGTAAAAAATCATTGTTATTCCAGGCATAATTTGGAATGCTGTACTTGTCTGAGTTTTTATGATTGTTTTCTTGAGAAGATTGTCCAATAATTCCAACTTCAATTGATACTGGTAAATGATCACTTATGTTTTGAGATAAAAAAGGAATTACGAAACAATTGGAATAAAGAAGAGATGTATACTTTGAGAAAGTATACGTTTATATGATCTATGATACTATGTGATCTATGTAAGATGCGTTTGGTAATGTATTATGGTGATACGTTATGTTAGGTCCAGAGCCTTTTGTTACGTCCATTAATTCAAGTTTATTCAACTTAATAAAATTTGATAAAACTACGGAGTAGTTATTTTTCGTAGAGCTAGCTCTCTTTAATGAATCATATATTCCGTGAGAAAAAGATTGAAAGTCACCAAGGACAATAAATTCAGCAACGCCCTCGTAGTTATTAATAACACCTGAAATTATATCCAACTGACTCATGTAATCCTCCAGTGATGTTTGATTATTGCGCGACGATGAAAGATAAATGCCAATAATAATAATATTAGTCTGATTTTTTTTAAGATTTATTGCGAAGATATGATCATCTTCATATAGAATAATAATGTTTTGAAACAAATGTTTCCGAATAAAAAAAGCGTTTCCGCCAAACGGTCGACCCTGCTCATGTTTGTTAGCCTGGTGGAAGAATGAAGAGTGGGTATTTTTATAGATATTTTTTATTATCAAATATTCTAAATTCGATAACCAGTGTTCACATATAAAAGTTATGTCATGAGAGAGAATCAACGATTTGGTATACTCAAAAATAGCCTTTAGACCGTGGCAGTTGAAAGTACATAGATTAAATGTTGTTGGAAGTTGATCTTCTTTAAAAATATTCCCTAAATCCATTTTGATCTATGAAAATCTTCCTGGTTTCTGTTAGTTTCCAGATTTTGAGATATGTTAGTATATTAACGTTTTTTTTTGGTATGGCTTAACTATTATATTGTTATCCCATAAAGCAGGGTTAAATATTATATTTTTTTCTGTGTTGTTTACGGTAACTTTGTATGATCTATTGTATTCATTTTCTTTATTCAATATAACAGATAAGGGGGAGATTCCTATTTCTGTTTCTAGATAGTTTTTAAAAAGTTCTTCATTGATTTGATTGCTTACCCCTCTGACAAAAATGTCAAATTTACAAACTATTCTTTCACCTGCAATTGTTTTATTTTCAGAAATTTTTGTTCCAAACACGAGCTCTGAAATTCTATGTTTTATTACTAATGAACGATTTTGTGTTTTGTGATTAGATTTACTATTTCGGCACACTAAAGTAAAATTATTTTCATCATTGTTGGTGTTTGATGCGTGTAGTTGTTGATCGATATTGGTTTTTTTATTTATTTTTGTGGTCAACATGGCGTCAATTTGTGGTTGATTTGTAATTGAGTGAGTTTGAGCTACTACATTTGTGAATGTTTTTAATAGTTGCGGTTTGTATTCAACGTTTAAAAAAGACTTATGCGTTGTTTGAGTTAGATTTTTTGTAGCAGCTGGGTTGTTAATTTTATTTTCACATTGCGTATAACCATCGATTTTCAATTTTGGTATTTGACACGGCTGTAAGAGACTTATATCCAGTTCCGATTGTCTGTTTTCTATCTTAAGTTTTTCAATAAGTTCATTTTGGAAAATTATTTTTTCTTTCAAAAGTATGAGTTCTTCTTTTATTTCTTTATTTTCTTTTTGAATTTCCTTTGAGATATGTAACAACTCCTTTACAGATTTAGTTAAAAATTTATCGTTGGGCAGAGTGTCCACATTTTTTGTAGAGATAATTACCTTAACAATTTCTTTATGAAGTTGTTTTTCACATAATGTGATTGAAAGTATATAAATATCTTCTAAACATAAATTTGTTTTGTATCTTTTACGAAGATTCTTTTCAACAGGATTTGTAAGGTCTAGTGTTATGTTCGCCTCACTAAATTCATCTGCACAAAATGTCTCAACGATTTCAGCAAATAGTCGTTCTCGAAGGTTTCGAATTGAGTTTTCTGAGATTGAGTTCATGCTTGCGATAACTAAGTCTTTTGGATAAGAACAAATTTCCTCAATATTTTTCAAAAAATTTTCTTCAAATGTATAAATGTCACACTTTAAATAGATAAACATCTCCTCGATTGAACGTGGTGCCATATTGTTTTTATTGACAAATTCTTTTTCAATTTCAAGTTTTATAAATAAAGAACCATATTATATATATAAAAAAAAAAAAAAAACTTTATTTATTATCAGTTATTTTTTCTCTTTAAAAAACACGTCTTGCTCTCTTGCGTATATTGCGTATCTGTTTATGCCAATATTGGTTTAGTTGTAAGTACATTTAAATCCCTGAGAAAATCAACTGTAAACAAGTGTTAAATTAAAATTATTTAAAAAAAAAATATTTAAAAAAAAACAACCATAAAACGAATGTTTAAAAGCAAAAAAATTTAAAAAAAGTTTAAATAAGTATAAGATTTTAATACAAGAAGACTTTTTTTAATCAACATTAAAACTTTTTTTTTTTTTTTATAACAACATTGTTCAATTTAAAGCTATTTCGTTTCAAAGACTAACTATTGTTAGTCTTTGAAACGAATAGTTTTTAATGTCATTTTAAATTTAATTACAATGAAGTAAAAACGCAACTGACGTAATTTAACTTTTAACAATGTAAATATCTTTATTGAGTAAAGTTACATTTATTCACGCTTCTCTTTTCCGTTACGCAGTGAAATCTCGTAACAAGGCCTGATATATATATATATATATATATATATATATATATATATATATATATATATATTGTTGTCATACTACCAGTAGAATTATTACCTCGAAGGTAGTAAAAGATTTGGACCTTGGAGGTAATAAAGATAACCATCCAAGTTTTACAAGCTCTCCTTAATCCTATCCACAATTGAATTTGGGATTCTGTATAAGATTTTTTCTCATCCTAGGCATGTTGTGTTTACCACAGCTGACGAACCTCACCTGCAACATGGTGCATAAATATATAGATGTTTTATTTTCCATAAAACATTGGTGTCACTTTTTGATCTTTTATAGTCTGTGTAATTCATTTTGACGGGATAAACTAGTTATAAATACTGATCCTCATCGAAACGCCAGTAATAATAGACGCGACTCTAAGGAGATGTTTATTACTTAATCACTACGCAAATTATGTCTACACATTAGCGTTAATGTTTTTTTCCATTATTAAATGCTTTTCATTGTTGTTAGTATATTTTTTATTTTGTGATTGGTTTTTTGTTTTATTTTGTGATCGGTTTTTGTTTTTGTCTGGTGATGTATATCTTCGTTCATATTGGTGTTTATAAAACAATTTTTTAAATTATTTTTTACTATTAAACTTAGGTTTAATTTTAGTAAATAAAGCAAACAGCTCTGACAAAGTCATATATCACATTGATACCTTATGTACTTGTCACAATGCTTTAGTTTTATGTTGTTGATATCAATATCTGAGTTTTATGGTTTATATTTTTCATTTAGGTTACTGAAATAAAAGAATTATGGAATAAAAATTATAAATGTAATAAACAAGTTGTGAAGGAATTCTTAACTGTTATTGCCATCACAAGCTTCTTTTGCTTTTTACCTGTTATATTTTATGTTGGAGCAAAACTTCATTTTGATGTCAATGAAAGAAAAAATGGTTTGTAAAACTTTTTTATTTTTGTAAAATTAAAATCTAGAAACATCTAGATTTTAATTTTACAAAAATAAAAAATGAATGAAATAGATAGTATAGTATAGTACTTTTTTTTATTATTTGATATTTTCATTTCTTTAAAGGTGAAAATGAAAATAAAGTTATCAAATTTTCATCTTGTTAAAGAAGATTGTCTTCTTTGACAAGATATTTCTGGAATTCCGGATATTTTACTCAACTTTTATTTTTTGTGAGTATCCAAAATGTTTTCCATACATACATGTTTAGTTGTTTATTTTTGTAATGTATTTGTATTCATACAAAAGTTAAGTAAAAAAAAATGGACACAACTCAGCTAAAAGCAAAATTAAGTGGAAAATAAAGGAAAATATATTCTGGGTTTTTTTAGGATTATTTACCTAAATAATTTTCCAGATTTTTAAAATATGACCTGGATGATCTATGTATATTTGTGAACATATCATAACAATTTTTTAATTAAATTTGATTATTTATAAACAAAATACCTTATTTTGTGTCATCTGTTTAATACTTAATGTGTATTAAAAAATCATTATGTTAAAGTTGTTTATAAATAAAAAATTGTTTTAAATATCATATTTTTTTAGGTTTGTTTCATTCCATTTGTTGTATCAGATCATTACATGCATAATTGCAATTTTTTACTATCCTACAGTTTTAAAGAGTGTTTTTTTAATAATTGGAAAAAAAATGAAATTGTTTTTTAAACAATTTTTTACCTATATGTAAATAAAATCTAGTGCCTAGTGTATCAAAAGCTATGTGTAAATGAAATCTAGTGCCTAGTGTAACTAAAGATACATGAAAATTATTTTATTTTGCAAATTATTTTTATTTCAATAAGTGTAACTAAAGATACATGAAAATTATTTCAATTAAAACTTTGCCTAATGCTCAAGAACTAGTTTTTAGTTTTTTTTCATTCAGTTTAAAAAATCAATAAAAATCAACAAACTATAAAAAAAATTTCATTAAAAAACAACTTTGAAACTGAAAATATCATTTACTCATAAATTTATTATATATTTATGGAAATTTTAATTTATTCAGATTGACTACCAACAAGACTGCAAAAAACCACTATTAAGTTGGAAATTACTAGTGTTATGTTGGAAATTACTAATTAATAAACAGTTGACAGCAGAGTTGAAAAGTTGTAGGTTATATAGTCTTGTTGTAGTTTGTTGTAGGCCAAATAGTCTTCATAATATATGATGCAATCTACAGACTTAATAATTTATTCAAGCGCATTTTATTCCTATGAGTACATTTTAGTACATGATGTCATTGATTTTTTTGTTTGTTTAAAAAATCAATTTTTTTTTTAAAATTAAAAAATCAATTTTTTTTTTTAATTAAAAAATCAATGGCGTCATGTATTAAAACTATTAGGAATAAAACGCGCTTGAATAAATTATCAAGTCTGTAGATTAAGGCTTTTTTTTTATTTTTTTATTTTAATTCACCTCCTCAAGGCCGAGAAGGCCACTAGAGACAAGGAGGCTACTTATTTGTGGCTATAACCCTCTCTCAACTCTATAACTCCAAAACACGAACCTTGACGAACAAGGCCGCTGCGCGGAGAAACGAGTTGAGGCTTGAATAAATTATCAAATCTGTTTATCCTATAACAAAACTGAGAAGGCAAGCTTCAACTAAAACAAAAAAGTTTTTCTTGGTATGCATTTATTCTTTTGTTTTTATTTGACTTGAAACTGGCAAGAAGGAGTAATAGCTTCCGTTCCTGCCTGGATCCAGGAGGTTAAGTAGAAGGCACATTTATCAGCTAAGAGGAAAAAGACATTAGCCCAAGAACCATCAAAAAGAAAATCACACAATCAGCTTTAGGGTTGTAGTAAATAGTGCGATGATAGAGTCCAAATAAGGGGTACGAGATGAAAGATTTACAGAGATCGTTGCATGGTCAGAAACACAAGCTAAGGTCAGAGACAAGACACAAATCAAGCAGTGAAAGTATGTGATTAGGGTTGTCTGGAAAATGTTAACTATCTGTGTAAGAAATTGAAAAATGCAAGAGTTATAGGCTTTGGTGCTAGCAGTTTCAGTTAGAGCCAAGCCATTCAGTGTATTATATTAAATATTATTTTAATTTATTTAGAAAATTCTAGAGAATTTGTATCTAGAGAAAGGAGCTATCTATAGAAACATTTATTTACATATTAGATATAAATTTCATAATGTATTTATTTATAATTTAGTTGAGCTTTAACATTAGTATTTGACTAGCTGTCATGACCTGTACAATACGGGTTGTGGTAAGTCAATCCACACCCAACTATTTCTAAACTTGTTCCTAATTTAGTCTTTATACTTTATATGGCAAAAAATAAATCAATTTAAATTTCTGGTAGTTAGTAAAATGCGAACATTTCTGTGAACCATAAGTCTATTGCTTGTTAAATTATAATTAATTTAAAAGAAAACAGTCTAATTTAAATAAAATATATTGAATACCATTATAATTCATTTGAAAAATTAATGAGCATGTTTTAATATCATGACTGTTGTGCTCATTAATATGTCTTGGTTCGCTAAAAAGTACGCAGTTTGCATTTTACTGACTACCTAAAGTTCTTGCCTTCTGGTTAATTTTTAATTTACTGTACTTTAGAACTATTTAGTATTTTTACTTATTACATTATTACTTATTTACTTTAATATTTTCTACATAATAAAACTATCTTTAGCATATATGACAGTTGCATAACAGTTTGGTGTTTTTGGAAACTTAGACTTTGATAATATTTTAACTCTCTCATAAGGATTTATTTAAAAAGCAAATTTGGATATTGAAAAATGGAACCAAGAGACCTAGTTATTTCAAATAAGTTGGCTTTATCTGTTTGATAATTTTTATAATTTACAGCGGAATTAGGCAAATAAATTTTTAAAACTGTTGTTTGTGCAATCGATACTTAATGCAAATGGAAACCGCTTGATTGTACAAAAGGTGATAAAAGTATAAATGGTTTCCATTCACATATAAAAAGATAACGGAAATATAAAAAGCAAACAAAAATAGCCAATATATCCATTTAAAACAATAATTCCAAAGATAAAAAAAATAGAAATTTATTTGAGAAACAAACAAAAGAATTTTCTTGAGATAAAATAAAAAAACTTAAAAAATAACTACAAAAAATTTTTATATTCAAAAATGCTTATAAAAACATTCTTTTGTTATTAAATATCTTTTAGTAAATGGTATTAAGATTGTCAAGCTTCGTTTTAACTTTTTGAATACATTCAACATTCAGAACATTTCTTAAATTCTGCTATGTAGGAACTTTCAAAATCAGTCATAGGAGAAGGAATTCGACCTAAAAATGGAACAAAATTATCATTGAATACACTTAATACACATTATTTGTTATTTATTTATTTGAAAATAAATAATAAATAGTTTATATAAATAATTAATATTTTCTTATTTGAATATATATATATATATATATATATATATATATATATATATATATATATATATATATATATATATATATATATATATATATATATATAATTATTTAGAGGGAAGATACTACTTATAAAAAATCTAATATTAAAAAAATATAATAATAAAAACATTTAATTAATGTATTGAGTCAAGTATAAGTGAGTACAACATCTTTCTTGTTGTAGCAGAAGAAGCTGCAGCTACATAAAAATTAAAATTACAGTAAAAGCAATCAATCAATGCAAGAAGTCAAGTATAAATGTATATAAATATTAAATATATGTAAAACAATAAAATTATTGTACTCTCTTAAATTTGACTTATTAAATTGATTGATTGACTTAAAAGAAATATTTGTACGACGTCAAGATGCTTATTACATATTTCAGAAAAAACGCAATTAAAAATAATTATTAGAAGAACCTCTTTGTAAAACATTTTTTGAAACTAAAAATTTTTATGAGTTTTTTTATAATTCTTTAAAAATAATTATTCAATAACATTTGTAGGTATCTAAATTAGCTTATTTTGTATAAAAGTCAAATTTGATTTTTTTACCTTAAGGCTTTTTTAAAAATGGCTACATTATTGAAAAATAGCATCGTACAATAAAAGCAATGAATTAATGTAATAAGTCAAGTATGAGTACAAAAACACTTGTTGAGCCAGAAGAAGCAGCTAGAGCTATATATATATAAAAATATAATAATAATACTACACTCTTGCTGTAAACTTACAAGCCAAGTCACAACACTTTAGAGCCATGGAAACTACATAGCCATTTAACCTACATAACATAACACACATTGAAGCATTATATATATTACAGGTATTTACACATTTATGACACAGAATTTATGATTGTATCAAATTATCTAATATACAATCATCATTACCAGTTTGCTCCATTCTGGGTAGAAAACCTTCTTTAGGCCTTAAATTTCTAACAATTTCAAAAAATTTGCCCATAAACCCTAAAACAGTAAGGGCAATTATTTGAGGGATAAGGTATTTTGGTTCTGAAGGAAGCAAAAGATAAAAAGGAATCATAACACCTATCCTTTATATCTATCACCACCTATTACCTATATCTTTTATTTCTACGGCAGTTTATTTCAGCCCACCTAGGCTCATCTCTTTCATTTCAACAACAATATACCTCAACTAACCTAAGCTCATTTCTTACATTTTGGCGATGGTTAAATTCAGTTTGCCTAGCCAGGTTTCTTTAATTTCAACAAAGCCTTATAATTTTACTTTTTTAATTATCAGACATAACTAAGCATCAGAGTGCGTAAAAATGATGCTTAATATAATAAAAGTTGCACTTTTATTTCAAGATTGAACTTTTAGTTTTCTTTCTTAACTTATCTTAAAGTGTAAGCAAATAAAATTAGTCATATTTCAATTTAATGTTTTAAAATACAATAACAATGTGTAAAGATAACATGTTTCTATCAAGAACTTGAACTAAAGTTATAAA